GCATTTAACCCTGGGTTTGGCTCTCAGTTCTGGAAAAAAAAATAGAGAAAATATTGAAAGGGAGGAATGGGGATATCTTTCAGTTGGTAGAGTACCTGCCCTATATGAATGAAGGCCTGAGTTTCAGCCCCAGCGCTGTATGAATTGGGTGTGGTGGGTGGCTGATGCCTGTAACACCTGCAGTCCTGAAGTGGAAACGGGGGATCAGGAGTTCAAGGCCACCCTTGGCAACATATCAAGTTTAAGGATAGCCTGGAATCTATGAGACCCTATTTAAAAAAAAAATTAAAAGGAAAAAAAAGATACATTTTGACCCTTTTCTTCTCTGTTCAAAGAAACAGTCTTCAACTACAAATCACCAGAACAGACCCTTTTCTTCTCTGTTCAAAGAAACAGTCTTCAACTACAGATCACCAGAACAGACAAAGCTACCCAGCAAGCTGGTCTTGTCACAGGGGGAGGGAGGGAACCTTTTGACCAGAGTATTGGAGGTCACTGGGGGCAGGGTCTGGGGAGTGAGTTACAGACACTTTTGTCTATTGCAAAGTCCCCAGCCTCAGCGTGTCTTGACGGGATGAATGTTTCACAATGCCTCATCTCCCAACTTCTTTCCCTATTTCCTGTGTTGGAAGATAAAGCCCCTGCCACGGAAAGTTCTCCATCAACTTGTTACCTGATGGGGTTGGCGGTGTGATGATTACCGGATCTGCAATCTCATCAGGGTCTGAAGACGCTCACTCCCTAACCCTTCATTCTGCCTGCATTTGCAGCTCTGCTCTCCCTATTATTAGCAGTTTCTTATCATCAACCACTTGATTATCTTCGAATATAATTTGTGCTAGAAAGGCAGGAAGATCAAAGCTGGGCTCTTCCCCTTTTATTATTCAGAGTAATGAGTTGGTATCCTAGCAACTTGTAAAGGTGACCCACTACATTTTCTTGCTTGGCATACCATCATATCTGGAGCCGTCAACTGCCTCTTTTTTTTTGTTTTGTTTTGTTAAAGGCAGGGTCCCATGAATTTCATGCTAGCCTGAACTTGTTATACAGCCAAATGATTTTGACCATTTCATCTTCCTGCTTACCCCTCCTGGGTGCTGGGGACCACCACGCCCAGTTTATGTGCTTGTGCATACTAGCCAAGCATCTACTGACTACTTTTCATTTGTTTGGTTTTACTCCACTGCAGACAGAGTTCTTTGGTACTTTTTGGGAATCTTAAGTACAGAATTGAAGCATTTAATTAGTGTGTGCTGTGTGTGTGTATGCGTGTGTGTGTATGTGTGTGTGTATGTGTATGTGTGTGTGTGTGTGTGTTATATGGATGCATGTATGGAAGTCAGAAGAGGACTTCCGATGCCACTCCTCAGGTACCATCCACCTTGATTTCTGGAGACAGAGTGTCTTCACTGACCTGACACTGAGGCAGCTAAGTTGGCTGACCAGCAAGTACCAGGGATGCACTTTTCTCTGTCTCCCTAGCACTGGGATTACAAGCCTGTGTCAACATATCCAACTTTTTACTTGTGTTATGGGACTCAAACTCAGGTCCTCAGGCTTGTATGGCAAATACTTTACTAACAGAGCCATCTCCCGGCCCAATGTTTCATTTTTATGAGTTCCCTAATATGCTTTTTAAACTGAAGATCACCTGAGGTCTTCACATCAATGCTGTAAACAGGCTTTTCTTGTGCACAGATATCTTGGCTCCTCCACATTCCTCTAACAGTCTCAAATAACCATGTAAACATTTCCTACTACACTGATTGCTTTCAGTGTCATGGGTGGCTGGTAATGTTTTGCTCTGTGGGCTCTTTTCTTAAAAATTCATTCAACTGTGTCAACTTTCCTCTGATTTCTGTTGAATCCAGGAATCATATCACTCTCCCAGGTTAAGAGAAAGCACTTTCTATTTCTGGCTTTCATTATATTTTAAACAGAGACCTTCTTTCACTTGGAGGAACTCATACTTCTGAAAGACTCCATCCACAGAATCGAAGCAGGTTTGCAGGGTACTGAATCCCACTCTTCTCCAGGAGAACGTCGCATCTCCCCTTGGGGGCAGGGTGCAAAGCTACTGCTGGCATGATTGGGGAGTGTATGAAAGCACAAGCTTTACCTGACTTGTCCTAACACAAGTCACAGCTTAGCTGATTGGCTAGTACTTCTACCAGACTCAGAATTTCATAGCAAAGGCAAACCCCAGGGAGACTCTAATCATGTCTTGCCATGCTGACAGCCATCTGTCACCTGGTGTGCCAATTATTAGTTTGTCCCCTGAACTGTGCCCCTGGGACAGGTGGCAATAACAGGACAATATAACTCCAATAATAATAATGTCTATCATACACACAGCATGCTCTTACCAAACTCTCTGGGCTCAAAAGAACATTTAAACAGGATCTCTCTCTCTCTCTCTCTCTCTCTCTCTCTCTCTCTCTCTCCACATGCCTACAGAGGTCAGGGGACAATCTCTGACATCATCCCTTAGACACCATGTACTTTTTATGAGACCAAGTAGGCTAGGATGACTGGCCAGTGATCTTCCAGGGTCCACCTGGCTTCTCCTCCCCAACACTGGGATTACAAGTGCACACCTTCACACCTGCCTTTTCCCATGAGTCCTAGGGATCCAACTCATGTCTTCACAAACACTCTACCAACTGAGTCATCTCCTCAGTCCATCACATGAGTTGATTTTTAATACTGCTACCTAACCAGCTATAAACCCTTCTTAATTCTTTTTTTTTTAACCAAGACCTAATGCCCAAGGATTATTAGTCTAATGTGTTCACTGAAACATTTAGGGAGTAAGCAAGGGATGATCTTTGGGCAGCTACATAAGATGCAAGAGGTTGCCATGAGGGAGAATGTCAATACAGGCATGTATAGCTGAGTTTATCAGCCAAGCAAATAGACTGACACTTCAGAAATTCATTCTAGCATGGAAACCTCTAGATGAAATCATACTGATATCTTTGGAAAGGGAGAGTTCTCTACCCTTAGCCTTCAAAGAAACAGTTTCGTTCACGTGGCCTTTCATTTCCAGAATAGAAACTTCCGTCCTCGTAGGGGTGGGGACTTCGTCATAAATTAACTTCAGCACAAATACTGTCTAGTTTGGTAATTAGTTCCACAGCCCTTGGCTAATTAGAAATAAAGCAAAACCAGGGAGATGGAGGGCAAAAGTGAAGACACAGCAGTGACAGAAAAGACTATCATAGAGATGCCTCAGAGCCCAGCAGCAGGGCCAGGGAGTGCACTGGTCAGCGCAAGCTCTGTAGCATCCACCATATTGGTTAACTGTCATGACCGTTGAGCACACAGAGAAGTCAGCTCTAGGAGCAAGGCTGGAACCTCCTACTTTAGACCCAAGCATGACTGCCTCAAAGAGTCCTGCAAGGTCCCTTGTCTGAGGAGAAGCTGGCCCCCTGAGCCTGTGACAGAGAAAGGAGAATGGCAAAACAACCTAATATCATGCCCTTGATGGCAGCTAGAGGGAGAAGCCCTTTCCAGCCAATGTTACCATTTATTGCGTGTATAAAGATGTCTCAGGTGGGGACTGGAAGCTACTCAGTGGAGAGATGCTCAATGGAGATGCCAGCACAGTAGCTTCTTCTTCAGCTGGTTTCTGCTATAAGACCCAACTTGATGACAATACCCCGTTTGCTCTATCAGGCTACTCCAGTTGTCTGCTAGATGTCGTTGATAACGTTTTGTGATCTACCTGCTTTTTATTTTTGCTTGACACATGCTCAGTAAAGTCACTCATTTGACACCAAAACCACAGCTCTTGGAGGCGATTCTCTGGACCATATAGAAAACGCCCTCACTGCACAAGATTCAACAAACCACACACAACACCAGCAAGGGCATCGAGAGGAGGCAAAACAGTCGAGTCCATTAATTAAGCAGCCACCGAAGCATGCGACCGAGTTTAAAATGGTTCTAATTCAGAAGGCACATACGCATGTGACATGCATGTGTATCCATATGTGCGGGTACAGGTACACGTCTGTATACGTATGTGTGTATGCTGTACATGTGGAGGTAAGAGGTTTATGTCTGGTGTCTTCTTCCGCTGTCCTCCACTTTCCATATTTAGGCAGTCTCTTAGACTTGTCTACTCCAAAGCTCACAGATTTGGTTACTCAAGCTAGCCAGCTTGCTCTGGGAAACCCATCTCCACCCAGAGAGGGTTGGACTGTAGGCATACCACTAGTCTTTTCTGGTATTTACATACGATCTGGGTATAAGAACTCTGGTCCCCAAACAAGTAGTGCTTTACCCACTGATCCATCTCCCCAGCTCTGAGACTGTTCTCTCCTCTTTCTCTCTCTCTCTCTCTCTCTCTCTCTCTCTCTCTCTCTCTCTCTCTCTCTCTCTCTCTCTCTCTCTCTCTCTCTCTCCTCCCTCCCTTCCTATTTTTGTTTTCTTTTTTTAAAATGGGGTTTCTCTGTGTAACAGCCCTAGCTGTTCTGGAACTCACTTTATAGACCAGGTTGGCATCAAACTCACAGAGATCCACCTGGCTCTGCCTCCCGAGTGTTGAGATTAAAGGAGTGCACTACCATGCCCAGTTATTTTTTCTTGTAAAAGCTTCATGCTCAAATAATTAAGATTGAGTTGTGTGGAAAGTGGGTCGCCATGGAAGACCTCATTCCTCTTAAGGATGCAGTGGCCCCTTAGTAATGGGAATATGGTGTTGGGACATTCTCAGTGACTGTTCTTCCAAAGGTGATCTGCAGACTTTTCCCATGTGGCTTCTACTAGTGATTTGTATTGAACCATTTTCCCTAGAACATTTCTAAGGCTGTTCACACAATGCCAATTACAGAAAAAGAAGGATCCAACTATTCCTGAGAAAAAAGTTTAGTGGTACACACTTTTTCAGCTAAGGGTCCTGAGAATCACAGCCCCAGAGAGATGGTTCCCTAGTTAACCTTTGCACCTATCTTCGGCAGCTTTCTGAAAGGCAGGGACCACACACGAATACTCACGGAACATGGTGTAAAACTGCTGCGGGTTCAGATTCCATTTTCCCCAGGGGGTCTTGTGGCCTTTCGACTGGGCATAACTTGCATGATTGAACTCAGGTTCTGTTCCAAAGGAATCTAGCACTCGGAGCATGCACCTGCAAGGAAAGTGCTGTGTGTCAAACTACAACCTCCATGCTAGACGCTACAGTTCGAGAGAGAAAAGCAGATGGACAAATGCTTGAAAGTAAAATTGCCACTGGGAAGAAGCTTAGGTCTTATTTTCTTCCTTGTTCATTTTTCAGAGAAGGCCTCAGCAGACAGAACTGCCACTGAGGGTGGCTCAAAAACCAGTGAAATAAACATCCATGAACTCTGCAAGGGGCCTGAAGGATTTACTGCAGGGGACTTAGCACCCAGGTAGGACTTGACATACAGTGAGTACCTAACCAATGTGATGAAAGAGATAAAACAACATTATCTCTACAGCTCTTATTCTGCTTAGCGCATAGGATAGGCTTCAGGGCTTCCAGCCTCTGTCAGCCTTTATTTACACAGTTACCTAGAGGACTTAATCTTAAGTGATGGTAATGACACAGCTACAGTATCTGCTTCATACTGGACACAGCTACAGTATCTGCTTCATACTGGACACAGCTACAGTATCTGCTTCATACTGGAAAGGTACTTTTCACATTGGTAAATTGATGATATTTGAAACTAGGCTTCTGGGAGTTAACTAGGAATAGATGCCATTAGTGGCTTTAAAAGAAGATGACTGGAGAACCAAGCAGAAATTTGCACAGTAGGATATGGCCCTCATTGGATTGGATGGGGGCCACTCCATCTTGGACTCTTTAGCTTCCAACAATGAGAAATAAATTCCGTTTCACAATAAACAAGTCTGGCTCCAGTATTATGTTGTAATAACACAAAACAGACTTCAATCTCATTTACATATCCAACTATAATATAATAGGACTTGCTTGCTAGACCAACTAAGAGCTAACACAGTACAATGGAGTTTCTTTGGTCTGTTCTACTGAGCCAAACCTGCTCCATCAGCTATCTTGGTGTAGCTGTGAGCTAAGAATTGGTTTTATATCTGTTTGTGTACAAGGGTATGTGTTTGTATATGTGCACATGTGTATAGGTGAGAACAAATGTGTGTGTGTGTGTGTGTGTGTGTGTGTGTGTGTGTGTGTGTGTGTGTGTGTGTGTAGGTCAGAGGTAAACTTTGGGCTGTATTACCCAGGTCCATCTATCTTGGCTTCTTTTGACTCAAGATCTCTTGCTGACCTGAAATTTGCCAAATAGGTTAGACTGACTGGCCAGGGAGCCCTAGGGATCCCCCTGTCTCTCTCTAATCCCCTAGCACTGGTGTTACAAACAGGTACCACCACACCCAGCTTTGTCATGTGGGCTCTGAGAAAAGAACCCAGGTCCTGGAACACCACAGAACACTTTACTGACTCAACTCTTTTCCCACCAAGGCTTCACATTCTCAAATAATTCTTAAAAACATGACAGAGGAAAATTCCAAGAAGTTCTCATTGCTACAGTGGAAAATAAAATTTTATTTATTCTCTGCAACTTGGTGACTGTCTTCAGGCTGTGGTGGCACAGCAGAGAAGCTGCAGTAGAGACTATACATGGTTGCAAATCATTTTCAAGCTAGCCTTTTACAAAGGAAGTATTCTGACCACAGGTGGGGAGGGCACAGACGCTAACTGGGAGAAAGGAATTAGAGAACCAACGTTATTGATCTGAGCTACACTGATTTAACTGATGAGTTTCAAACCATGTAAACTAAGCTCAGGGCGTTGGTCAGTGGGGACCGTTCTGTTCGCTGTTGTCCTCTCTCAGGGCACTTCTGAGCAATTTCCACTGGGCCAATACACACCAAACCAAATGAAAATTAAAGCCCACATTTAGGACAGATAGTGGAAGCACTTTTAAGGACTCTTTCTCTCTCTTTCTTCCTTTTCTTACTACCAGGAAGCTACTCTACATTTTTGTAAATTTTCACTCTGATATAAGATTCTGAAATCAAAATAAAACTATCAATGTTCAAATACCAGATTACATTCTCCAGGAAATACAATTGTCAGTTAGAGGGAAGGCTATGGCTATAGAGTGAGCTAACCCAGAACAATGCCCTCACTTGGATTCTTAAGTGGCTTTCTTGGAGCTACTCTCAGTACATTGACAGGTCTCTCTTTTGGGGGTGTATATGTTCATGTGTGTGCATGTATGCGTTTGTGCATGTTCACAAGTGCATGAGGAGGCCAGAAGTCAAACTCTGGTGTCATTCCCCAGAAGTCATATACTTGGGAGGCAGATACAAAGGGCTTCTTGTTCAAGGTCCTCCTTGGCTCTATCCTGCATCTATCTGGTACCTGTGCTGTGTGCTGTTAATATTTATGTCACTGCCTGGATGCCCTCTGTGCATCTGAAACATCAGGAACCTTCTAATGATGTAAATGTGCATTTTCCCCAGTGCCCAAGACAGCTGGCCTTCTTCTAACAGAGGCCTCACAACAATGCCAAATGACTCCTAGAACATTGTTGTTGCTAGAGGCTACACTACTGAGATGCTCAGAAGCAAAGGGTCTATTTCTAGCTGGGAGTCTGGTGTAAAGGCTGGCCTGCTGTGATCTATTTGTATCTCACATTCTTGCACGTTTTTTAACACTCAGCAAAGGACTCTCCTATGGAGCAGAAGGGTTGTGAGTTCTGTAGACCATGCTAGAGCACTAGTAGCATGTCAGCATTCAATAAGTGTTTAATCTAGTGTCCTAGGTTCTTATGCAAATTAGACAGAATTTATAAGTGTTTCTTCAAGGTCAACAGACCTAAGGAACTTGTTGCTCACTGAAAGGTCTAATGACACCACACAATATGGAATGCAGTTCCCATCACCTGCCATCAAGTAAGATGACCACAGTCTGACAGTTTATTGCATGTGTGTGCATGCTCCTATATGTGAGTTTCTGTGTGGTTGTACACACATGTGTTGGGTTCATGTGTACATACATGTGTGATGTGTGTGTGCGCAGGTAGGCCAGAGATTCCTTAGTAGCTCTTCATCTTATTTTCTGAGACGGAGGTGTCTCACTGAATTTAGAATTCACTGAGTACTTGTCTTGAGAGCTCCAGGAGCCTCCTCTCTCCACTCCACTTTGGGATTGCAAATGTGCACCATCATGGGGGCCTTTTATGTAGAAGCAGGGATCCAAACTCAGATTCTCATGTTGCACAGCCAGCAGTTTACCAATGGAGACATCTCACTGGTACGCCTCTATCCTTTTATTTTTGGGGACAGGGTCTCATGTTACCTAGGCTGCCCTCAAATACCCTTAGTGCTCAAGGATGACTGAGCTTCTGATGCTCATGTCTCTACTTCCTGAGTGTTGGGATTACAGGCAGACACTACCACATCTGGTTTACTGGATGCTGGGGAGTGAATCCAAGACTTCATATACAACAGGTGTGCTACAAATGGAACTCTATCCCTAGATGCAGCTTTTCATATTTAAAGGGAAAGAAGTAGGTAAGAAAATTCTAGGAAGCCTGCTTGTCATTTGATAAAACTGTAGCTTTGCCACAGAACAAAGACGGAGGGAGGGCTATAGCATGGAGAGACTGCCTGCTGTTTACTGCTAATTCAGACCATTACTAAAGAAAGACAGAAAAACATTATATACATCCATAAACCCCTGTAGATGGAGCATTTTCACACAGCAAGCATCAAATACCAATCAACAGTGACCATTGTAATAACAAGATGGCCTTTCTTAATTGACCCAAACACCACCACTGAGAATATTTTTCCATCTAAACAGCCCTTCTTAATAACAAGGACACGAGAGTCTATGGAAGTCTGAATCGCCCAGTTTTCTCTGCATGTTTTCCAAATGTCTCCCATTGATAAAACGACAGAAAGGAGCAGCCCTGACTTTCTTCCCTTAAGGCTATCACTAAGGAAAAATTTCTGTTTACAACGAGGCTTATTAAACAAGGAGAAAGATAGTTATTTCTATACAACAACAACAACAACAAAAGTGATGGCTTATGATTCGTGAAGAAGAAAAGCAAACCAATACCAGGGAAACTATGATACCAAAGACAGAGTGGAGTGCTGGAGCTGATGGTATAGTGTGTACAGTGCCTAGTGCATGCTTGGAAACCCAGAGCTGGGGAAGTGAAGGCAATTGGATCCCTGGGGCTCAGTGGCCAGCAAGCCTAGCCAACAGGCCAGCTCCAGGTCACTGAAAGACTATCTCACAAACAGGTAGAGAGTGGTTCTGAAGAATGACACCCAAGGTTGTTCTTTGCCTTCCATATGCATGCACACCTACACACATGTGTACATGAACATGTACATGCATATACACAGGATCAAAACAAAAAAACTAATAAAAAAGGACAAAGCATTATCCTGGGTCAAGCTTTCCTGAAAATAAAAAGGATGGTAATATCCCAGGGAAAGGAAAACAATGCAGAGACTGTAAGAACAACAAACTCAACACAGTCAATAGAATCATCACAGTTAGCACAGTCTACACAGTTGGCATAGTCAACAGTCAGTCTACAGAGTCAACAAAGTCAGCACAGTCTACACAGAATCAACAATCACTCAACAAAGTCAGTGCAATCATTCACCAGTCAACACATTCAGCATAGTCAGCCTTCATAGTTAACAGTCATACAACACAGGTAACACAGTCAGTACAGCCAACGCAGTCAACAGTCATCCAAGTCATTTGATGCAGTCAACACAGTTACATAATCACTCAACATAGTCAGTGCAGTCAACACAGAACACTTGGACCCTTAATACAGTGTCTACCCCCATCAGCCCCTTTGCTATATATATTTCATTGCCCAGTGAGAAAATCATTGCTGTTGGGAGTGAAGTTTAAAAGAGACTTTTTATAAACAATGGACATTGATTGCTAGACCTTGGATTTTTGAGAAAATTCTTTTTATTTTCACTTCTCATTTTTGATGGCTCATAAAGGACTTCCAGTCTGAAATAATCTTGGGGGTTTAAAGTTAAAAATATTAAATGTAACTAACAGGAAAGACAAAGGCCTACTTTAGGATATTTACGTATTAAGTTAGTTAGAGTATATGATGGTTCATCTTGGTTGACAACTTGATTGAACTGTGAGAAATGTCAAGGAGATTGAACAAGCATACCTCTAGGTGTGTCTGTGAGTGCATCTCCAGAGATGATTAACTAAGGGGAAGGTCTGAGTGTGGGTGGCACAATCTTGTGGACTGGGGGTCCAGGAGGAATTCAGAGGAAAGAAAAATCATGCAGTCAAGACATTTTCTCTCTATCTGATTCCTGACTGCTATGATGTGAGCTACCCTGCTAGATTGCCATCGCCCACGCCAACCCCACCCTGATAGACTGAAGCCTTTGAAACCAGAGCAAAAATAAAACTCTCTTTGCTCAGGTATTTTACAAAGTGACAAAATTAACACAGACGACCACATCAAAAATGTTTCAATCAACTAGTCAAAATTAAGAAACAAATGGAAAGGACTCTGGGATGCAGCTTGTCCATCATGAATGAAGCCCTGGGTTCCATCCTATCCCTAGCACTGATAAAATCAGTTGTTGTGGCTCATGGGACAGTTATCCTGAAGTAAGCTGTGCAGCTGTAGAATCCATAAGAGACCCTGCCTCATTAAGGTGAGAGGTGAATCCAACTCACAAAGGCTGTCCTCTGACCTCCACACACAAGCTGTGGCACGCACATATACACAGACTCACACAAATATGAATGCACCACACACAACAAACAAACAAACAAGAAAAATCAGTATTTGATTAAATGAATGAGATCCTTTTAGGTATACAAAGAGAGGAATGCTAGGTACTGAGGAAGATAAATGGGGAAGCGGCCAGATGTCTGTTTTGTTCCACTTTTCCCTTTCTTTTTCATTTGTTTATTTATTTATTTATTTATTTATTTTTTCGAGACATGGTTTCTCTGTGGCTTTGGAGACTGTACAGGAACTAGCTCTTGTAGACCAGGCTGGTCTCAAACTCACAGAGATCCACCTGCCTCTGCCTGCTGAGTGCTGGGATTAAAAGGCATGTGCCACCACCACCTGGCTCTCTTTCTTTCTTTCTTTTTTTTTTTTTTTTTTTTGGTTTTACGAGACAGGGTTTCTCTGAATTGTTTTGGAGGCTGTCGGTCCAGCCTGGCCTCGAACTCACACAGATCCGCCTGCCTCTGCCTCCCGAGTGCTGGGATTAAAGGCGTGCGCCACAACTGCCTGGCATCTTTTTTTTTTTTTTTTAAAGTCAGGGTTTCAATATGTAGCTCTGGCTGTCCTGGAATTCACTATGTAGATGAGGCTGGCCTTGAACTCACAGATATCTGCCTGCCTCTGCCTCCTGAGTGCTGGAATTAAAAGTGTGTGCCACTATGCCTGGCTGGACACCTGTTTTCTATTCTCAGAACATAAATAGAAATAATGAATAGTTCTAGGAAGCAGTCAGTCAGTGGGAACTGCCTGAATTTCATTAGGAATGAAAATACACTCCATCCAGTTCAAAAGATTGTATTCACTCATCCTTTAAAAACAAACAAGCAAGCAAACTGATACAGTCCTTGTTAGGAGAAAAAAGTCTTAGCATATAGTACTTACTGGTAATGAACCCAGGATGGTCCTAAAGTTTTCTTAAATTGAGCAAGTCCCACAATATCAATATAAATAAGCTCAACGATTCTGTCTCCTACAGTGGGACAGCCAGACCGATTTCCAACAACCTTCTTCATAATCCTGGAGTGGGGCAAACGGAAGAAAAGAAAGGGCATCAGTAACTTGACAATACTAACCCAGGCGAATGTGACAGGTTAATAGCACACCTCAAGTCCTGATTAGAGATGATGGGTTGATACTCCAAGCCCATCTCAACTTCAGAGTCCCCATTCTGACCATGAGTGGGAGAGGGGAGAGGGGACTTAGATGTTGGTGTATAAACACAACCTGTGAAGTTCAGCAACAGTGTGTTACCCATCTCCTCTGGGGAGCAGACCTGAGAGAGCTAACCTGATTCATCTCTCTGAATCTTCCCTCCAGTGTGGGAAGGTGATTGAATAATGATGTGTAGACATCTCCCCCCAATTCAAACATTCACTCCAGGAAAGGCACTCTTTAAGACTTGGGAAATAAAACCTACAAGGTCCAGGAAGTAAATGAAACTCACAAATCCCAGGAGGTTTCTAAAACACAAGATTCCTAAGGAACTTCCCCAAGGTATAAATCTGCCTGAACTTCATGTAGGGAGCTTGAGGGATGCAGCTTTAATGAGTTAGTACCCATGCTTGGATGGGCTTTTTAGTGATGCAGCTGCCTTTGAGTTATCCACAATTCTGTTAAGTAACTCCAATAAATTCACTGGCTTACTTAGCTGGACTCGGGCAGAATCATTGCTTTGGTCTTTCATTGGTGCCTGGTGAACATGTTCCCAGAAAAAAAAAAATCACAAAACCAAAACAAACACTCTGACATTCTCTCACTTTCTTTTGTATTCCCTAAACACCTTCAATTCCAAGTCCCAGCTTTAGTAACTTCCCATATACTTTTGTACTGTCTTGAGTGACTCATTATGGAACTGGCCCCGTGGCTTAGGGGTGCTCATTATGTGGTCTTTCAGCCACTGACCCACCCTTCTCTACCCTGACATCCAAACTGCCCTTGTGCTAATAGAATGACAACGTATGTGACTGTGATGTGAACTTGATTAGTCAGAATAAGTCTAAAGTGTAACTACCATGTAGCCAGAAACCATCTTTGACTCTTATCCCTGCTCACTCCCCACAGTAATACTTGGCCATTTACAAAACTCCCACTTCCGAATGACAGGGACCACAAACTACTCCCCAGTTCCTTACACCCACTGCTTCAGGCACCTTCTGTGCCTTCCGGGCTTCTACACAAAGGCAAGCTCTATTGAACGGACTTTTCTCTGAAGAGCTGGAAAACTCTCTATGAAAGGCTGGATAATAAACATTTTGCATGTTCAACTTGACCATTGTAGGGTGGAAGCAAGTTAAAGCAGCAGTGGGTGTGACTCTGCAACCAGAAAACGTTGATGAAAACAGGCAGAGGGCTGGTTTTGGGCCTTTGACTGTGGCTTCAACTGGGGTCCACCTTGTTCACTGGTTCTCAACCTTGTTGAACAGTGGGAATGCCTACTGAGCATCACGAAGTATTTAGGCTGTGGCATTTTCAAATGTTGTGACTTAACCACCCTGGGAATGTTCTGTTCCAGGATTTTAAGGAGATCCCCAAATCTTTGAGAAAGTGAAATGAAAAAATTCCCCAAGAAATCCTATTGAGCAGCAAAGAATTGGGGACCATTTCTCGGTGTTCCTTCTGTAATTCTCGCTTTAAATAAAGCACATCCAGGGGCTGTGGATAGGGCTCAGTGGGCAGAGTGCTTACTTAGAAGCCCTGGGTCCCATTCCCAGTACCACATAAACTGGGCGTGGTGGAGCATTCCTGCCATACCGTCACTTAGGAGGCAGAGGTAGGAGGATCAGGAGTTCAACGTCATCGTTGACTATGCCTGGGTAACGTGCGACCTATCTCAATGGCCTCTACCTCCAGAAAAAGAGTACACATGGCCCCCGCCCCAGTATCCACAAAGATCGATATGACTTGCCCTTGACCGTCAGGTGAGTCTCAGTCATGCCTAATGTATCTGTCCTGAGCTCCATTCTTATGCCTGATTCCTCACAGTCCTCCATTTGTTCACCCGCCTACTCCCAGCTTAACTTCCAAAGTCCTTCTCTCATTCCTTCAATAGCCAGAGCATGCTAGTCGCTATGTGTAAGAGCTAGGAACACAGTGGTGAGATTCACTTTTCAGCACTCCCTGTACTCGTATTCTAGCATCCACACCTCAGTCAGCATCAATAGAATTGCAATTAGTATGAATATTATTTAATGCATCAGTTGCGACTGTCAAAAGATTGGCAGCTGAGTAACAGCATGGCAGCCACCTCTGCAGGCCCCGTTTTGAATCCCAGTCCTCAGAAGGCAGACAGAGTGGCTGCAGAGTACATGACTTTATAGGTCTTGTGTCCCACTCATTTTTTTTAAACATTTGTTTATTTATTATGTATACAGCATATGTTTGTATGCCCACAGGCCAGAAGAGGGCACCAGATCTCATTACAGATGGTTGAGAGCCACCATGTGGTTGCTGGGAATTGAACTCAGAACCTCTGGAAGAGCAGGTAGTGCTCTTATCCTCTGAGCCATCTCTCCAACCGTGTCCTACTCATTTTAAAGCAAGCAGTAAGGCAACAGGAGGCATTCTGGCTAAGAAGAGGAGACTGCTTGAAGTAGAAAGGACCTCAAGTTCATCTAACTCTGAAGGAGAAAGGAAGGACCCTTGTAAAAAAGGCTGCAGAAAAGTCAGTGCCAGGCTCAGATTCAGGCAGCCTTACGTGCTACCCTTAAAACCTCAGACAGTTCATGCTCAGTCTGTGCCCCAGGTTCCTCAGCTCTAAAACACAAATGGCAAAAGCATCTACTTCCAGGTGCTGAAGTTTAAATACAATACAATAATTGGGAACCCGGGATGCTTCCTTGGTAAATGCTCCTGCTTCTATGCAACAGACTATATGGCTACCAAGATGCTTCCTTGGGTAAAGCTGCTGCTTCTTTCTATCACTGGAACCCACGATGGAAGGAGAAAACTGACTTCCTGAAAGCCATCCTCTGGTCTCCACATAACTTGAGGCACAGGCTTACACACACACAGCAAATAAACAAAACTAAACTTAACTAAAACCGCCAAGAGTGTAGTACTGAACACAGTAAGTGGCTCACTATAGATTGAATAGCTACCATCAGTGCTGGGGTGGGGCTGAGCTGGTACCGAGCCTACCTGGCATGCACAAAACCCTGGGTTCCACTCCCCGTGCCATATCAACTAAGACACAGAGGTGCACAGCCCTGGGGAGGTGGAAGCAGAGATCAGAAATTAAAAGTCATCTTCAACTAGATACACTGAGTTTGAGGTCAGCCTGGGCTACACAGACCTACTCTCAACATAAAGATAGTCCCGATCAACGCGACTGCTGGCATACTTCCTGGTATTTCCGTATAAGCAAACCTTTAGCCTGGTGCTGGTATCTGGAAACCAATGAGAGGATTGCTAAGCTCTTCTTCAGACACGATTGCTTTCGAGTCAGTATCCCGCCAACAACTTTGGTGTGTCAGTAATAATACAGTGGGGACAGGGTAGCGAGCGCATGCACGGCTCTCTGCCATCTCTGCCATCGCTAGAGTGTTCCCCCCAAGGGCTGGCACAGTGACATGACAACTTGCATTCTGAGTTAGAAGTCTCTGCTGGCGGTTTTCTGGGGACTGTGGGGACCCCAGTTCATCTGTTTGGCCAGCTGGATCAACTGAAAAGGGACTGAGGGGGTGAGAGCTGAATGCAAGCCTCAGTGGGACTGAAGACTCGGGGAAGAGAACAGACTGCGCTAGAAGTTAGCGAACTGAAAAAGGATTGGATCCGGGCTTTGGGGAAATTCATTTTACTCAAATTATAAACAGGAACTGGCCCTGCTTTGAGCTTTAGAAAGCTTGATGTTGAGCAGGGAGTAGTATGAATTTTGGCAAGAGGCAGGGAATTAGGCAAGTCAATAGAGTATCGCGCTGCAGATGTTGGAAACACCTGGAATAGCAAAGAATAAACTCTTTAGTTTGAGATTTCCTGGTGTTCATTTATGAGGCCCTGGGAGCCTGCAGCCAATGAAAACATATTATCCTTTTCATAGTGTATGTATTTAGCTCCTGAAAATAATCTTCTTATCGCCTGTTTAGCGAATTATCACTCTCATTTTCCTCCATGAGAAATTGTATGCTAATAGAGGGACTTTATGAGTTTACTATTTTCTGTTTTTGTATTCTGATTTTCAAATTAAAAAAGTCATTTCCTTACTCCTTGAGCTCAGCCAGCGAGGCTGAGATCCGGATGTCATGGCCCAGTAGGTAGAGAGATGTAATTAAGTCACTCCACTGAACCAGTTCACCAAGAGGGCCACCGCTGAATGCTGTCTCTGCAATCTTGAAGCCAGATTCCTTGGTCAGGAGCCCCAGGTGAACAAGGATCTGGAAAGCAAAGAGGAAATTCATCCTAACTTCTGGAGCCATGATCAAGTCCATGCACACCATAAAGCAGTCAGGCCATCCTGACGTAACCACCGAAATCTCAGTTTGGGGTATGTCATTTTTCTAAAAAGTATGAAACAAAGAAGAAATAATTTCCTCCTGTTTTAGATAAATACTAAAACCATGAACTGTCCTTAGTAGAGCCATGAATGTGAGTTATAGACAGATTATCCTGATTTTTAAAAACACAACACATGGCTGGGTCAGCCAGTAAAGAACCCGATGAACAAGCATGAGAACCTGAGTTCGAATCCCTAGAGTCCAGATACAAAAGCTGGGTGTGGTGGTGCATACTTGTAATCCCAGTGCAGAGGAGATGGAATAGACTACTCAGTTCCAGGGATATTCCTATGTTTGTCTCTTCAGTGTTGGCATTACAAGCATGTACCACTACACCTGGCTTTTTCGGGTGGGAAATGGGCAGTAACTCAGGTTCTATGCCTGTGTGGCAAGCTCTTAATCAACTGAGCTCTCTTCCCAGCCCAGCAAGTCTGTTGCTAAGACATACTCTAGTTACGATCCACGAGGCTTGTTTGGCTTTTAAATATAAAACCACAGAAAAAAAATCATATTTAATGTGTTTGGTGACTATCCTAACTGACCCAGTTTGGCCATAGGATTATGTTGCAGCTGGTACCTCCATTCTCTGGCCAGAATCATAGCAGCCTTTGGGAGCTTTTTTGTCCTTGGGTATGAGAAGATGGTCTAAGCTCATCAAGTGCAATTTCTGTCTCAGACCTTAATGAGCCATTTTCCCAAGAAGCACTTATCCAACCTGGTGGAAATAGCATTTAAAGATCAAAGGCTAGTTCTCAAGGGACTCCACTTAATTGTTATTTGGAGTCTTCTCCAATGGCCCTAGTGAGGAACTTCACTTTTCCTCAAAGATAAACTGTGGGTTCTTACTAGTAATGTCAATCAGAACCCAAGGCTGTATTGATAATACACTCATATGACATCATCCATCTTTCACCAGTTAGCTACTTTCTCCTATAATGAAAATTCCACTTCGCAATGGCAGGAATGCGGCAAATCATTTTCTTTATGCTAATGCTCACAACGGCTCTAGGATAAGATTATCAATACTTTGGCATATGACATGATACAAGTGTTAATTTTTATTCTAAGCTCTCTTTGTTTACTGTGTTCTACAGTAGCAGATTCTAACCCTCCATTGTGTGCTTGCCCTAAAACTGGATAGATACAGTCAGCTCAGTTGTTTGTTTCATTTTCCTTAGGATTTTCAGGGATGGGTTTTTTTGTTGTTGGTTTGCTTTTTGGGGGGTTATTTTGTTTGTTTTAATTTAAAATAGACTTCCCCCCATATATATCCTGATTATGGCTTCCCCTCCTCCAACGCCTCTCACCTCCTCTCTATTTCCTCACCTACCAAATCCATACTCTCCCTTTCTCTCTTCCTCATTAGAACATAAACAGCCATTGAAAAACATAATAATAGATAAAATAAAAATAATTCAGAATAGCAAACAAACAGAAAAAAGGGGGAGGGTAATGGCTCTTTTAAATTAAATTTCCCTTACTATATAAATGGTTCCAGTGTGAAAGCCACAAGTACTGGATATGAAGAACTGAGAGAAATTTGGTTTCTACGCCTGCTACACCCACTCCATTCTGTCCCCCTCCCTGCTTTGATCACTTAATTATTTTCTTCCTGGGGGAAAATATGTGTAGCATAGCATAGTGGCCACCATTTTCATGCACATGGCTCAAAAGAAGTTTCCCCTTGGATATCTCATTTCTGAAATTGGAAGAGTTCCAAAGCTTATGTTTAAGTCATAGTGGATAAGATCTTTTCTGTGGGGTGTGTGTGTGTGTGTGTGTGTGTGTGTGTGTTGGTATTCCTGTGGGAGCGTGTGGTGAAGATGGCTACATCCTAATGTATTCCTTATGCTTCCAGACCACGTGCATTAAAATGTTGTGCACATGTTATGCTATGATATGAATATTTTTCTACAGTAAGAAAAATAATTAAATGATGAAAAAAGGAAGAGATGGAGGGAAGGGATGGAGTGGATGTAGCAGGTATGGAAAGCGGTGCCCACACCTGCTTTTTGTCCTCGGGTATCTTTTCTCAGTCACCGCCTACCGTGTTTGGTGTATGTATAGTGTGTATGTGGTGGGGGGCTGTATATAGGGCGTGTGTGTGTGTGTGTGTGTGTGTGTGTGTGTGTGTGTGTGTGTGTGTGTGAAGATGTGTATAGCTGTGTATGCATTCACGGAAGACAGAGGAAGACATCGTGTAAGGAAAGAAAAGCTCAGAATGGGGTGCAGAGACACTGAGCTGATCTACTCTGGTGGGATATCATTTGACACATGACATCGCTCTTCATCTTGTTTCCAAGCAAAATCAAAATTTAAAAGAAAGCTGCCACGCAAAGGAACCGAATTAAGAAACTCACTTTCTTCCGTTTTCTCTTTTCAAGGTTTTGCTTCTCTGCCAGAGACTTGATCGCCTGGATCCATGCGTCAGCCATTCGCCGGATCCGAAGTCTCATCCACCGGAACTCCTCATGCTTCTTCATCATGCTGTAGAGAATGTTAAAATCCGTACGGATTTCCGCCTAGGGGAAAAAAAAGAGAGAAAAAAGTGTAATAAAATGAGTAGAAGATTAAAATGCTAGGATGCAAAATGATTTTCATGGCATTTTAACCCTGAGAGTCAATTAAATCTAGGATTTCAAAAGTCAATCTTGACTCTCTACATGGCCCTTACTCAAGAGTACGGGGGGGGGGCTGACAAGATGGCCAGCAGGTAAAAGCTCTTGCCAAACAGCTTGTCGATCTAAGTTCAATCCCCAGGACCCACTTAGTGGAGGGGGAGAGAGAACTGATTCCTGCAAGTTATCCTCTTGTCTCTACATGCTGCTTACCTTGGCATGCATATGCCCATACACATGCATGCACAAATAAAATAAATGTCATTAAAAAACTTTAAAAAGAAAGAGGACTTCAAATTGAAACAAAGGCCCTGAATGTGGATTTGTTACAAACAGCATCATTAAAATTAGAGATTGAGAAAGTCAATGTAGTCGCTGTAAAGCCTGAGCTACACTGAAATGCAGTTTTCACAATTGATATACCAGAGGTACCTTCATATCCCCTGTGCCAAATGTGTCTTGGAGCTTCCTTCTAGGCAGCTGACCACAGGAAGAGGCATCAGCTCTGACAGGCCAGCCAACATTGTGAGGGCTACCAGTGAGCCTCTCCTCCCAGAGTGAGATGGGGAAAAAAAATGATCATTTTCTAGTTTTTGTCCAGGGCCAAACCAACAAAACTTGTGATTTTTTTCTGAGGAATTTTAAAAGCTAGGGATAGGATTTGTTTCTACTGTAGCTGAGTACAAATTTAAAATTCAGAGCAGAATAATTTAAGGTCCAGGAAGACTGTTTTTCCCCTGGTCTTCTGGATACTGTAGCTGGAGGCAGCCCCTGATTAGAACATGAGAGAAATATGATAATATCAGTGTTTCACATGGTACCTCAAGCATAACAAATGCATCTCTTAGCCATCTCCATGGCTCATTCTTAGCATCCGTCTCCATCCTTGACCTAACAATCTCTCATAGTTTACACTTGGCTTCACAAACCCTGGAACCGTTCTCCTAGCTGCCTGTGTGTGTAAGATGCTTCGGTGGAACACAGTCATGTCCTTCATTAGATGTTATCCATGGCTTCTCTCTGGGTTAGGACTACAGAACTGAGTTACTGTGAGATTAAATATCCAGGAAAGACAGAAACACTATCTGACTTTCACATTTTTCTTACTTATTATATTTTCACTTACTTAGAATGTGTGTGCATGTGTGAGCATGCTTGAATGTGTGGTTAAGTCAGAAGATAATTTGCAGAAATTGGTTTTCTCTCTGTACCATGTGGGTCCCTAGGGAATTAAATTCAGGTATTCAGGCTTGGCAGTAAATAGGTGCCTTTGCCTGCTAATACATCTCACTACCTCTATTATTTTTGTATACAATGGAATGTCAGGTAGCCCAAGCTGGCCTTGAACTTCTTAATAGTCTAGTGAAAGCACTAATCTGACAAAATGTCTAGGTCTTCATTATTGTAGAAGAGACTTCAGATGCCCAAGCTATGATAGAAGTCTCTCCTAGTAGAAGAAGAGATGATTAATTGTCACACAGAAGTATTATCCTATGTAGCCAAGGATAATCATGACTTCTAATTCTCCTGTCTCTACCTCCCAGGTTCGAGGATTATAGGCATGCACCACCAAGTCTAGTTTGCAGTGCTGCAGACTGAACCCAGGGTTTTTTGCATGTTGGAGAGCACTCTACCAACTGAGCCACACCCCAAGCCCCTACTTGACCTTTACAGAAAGAGTCTGCTTTGGGCTAGAGAGAAGACTGGTGGTTAAGGGTGCTGCCTGCTCTTGCAGAACAGTGAGGTTCAGTTCCCAGCACCTGCCAGGCATCTCACTACCATTTTCTTGCCTCTGTGGGTTCCTGTATGTACATGGTGCACATAAACTCATACAGGCATACAAATAAAACACATACACAAGTAAAAACACTGAAAAATAATAATAAAAAAAACTTTCAAATGAGTTGCTGATCTATGTCTAAGGAGAGTGCCCAAGCTCTCAAGATAGCATTGAAAGGCCTCTGGAGCCCCTTCCTTTTTCTAATTGAGTCTTCAACTCAGCTTGCCCAAACCTCAACCTTGCCCACCCAACCTTTCAGTATGGTACCAAAGACCAGCTTGCCAAAGAGACACGCCTCCCCCCACCACCTCACATACACTGTTTGTCCTTTCAGATTCAGCCCGTCATCTTCTCTTTGGAATCTCCCCTGACCTCTGCAGCTGAGACCGTCTTTCCTCATTAATCTTCCTTAGCAGGCATTAGAGCCTGGTGACAAGCCTGGTCATTATTTACAGCCAGTCCCCTCATTAGATCAACCAAGGACTCCACATCTGGCACTGCAACTCATTCCTCTCTGTGACCCATCATTTAGGGACCTTCAGAGAAATGTTCAATAAATAAATCTCCGCTAACTGGTCTATGATTGGGCCAGCTAGACTCGAGATTTCAGCTGGCATCACTTAGCCTACGACCCAAACACACAAGTGGAGGAAGAGTGTTCCAAAGTCATTTACCAATGAGTTATGATCAGCTTCTTCATAGGGATTTTTTGCTCTCCAAGGTAAACGAGGACACCAATTTTCAACCTGAAAAAGATAAATCAGAAACACTAAATGCACTGGTCTATCTTTCTGTGGACTCACAATGTGCCAAGAACTATTCCCAGCTCCCAATGAACAAGGTGTTTATGCGGGACACTATTAACCAGATATTAACCAAACTCCTGTGACATTCATTAGCAAGCAGTCCAGGTGCAAGTGCCCCTCAAAGGTGCAGCATCTTCCATCCTTCAGTCATGGTCATAAGAAGCATTTGACCATGCCTGTCCCTAATTACTGGGAGTGAGTCCTTCAACTAATCCTCACACATCCATAAGAGGGGACCAGTGTTCTCTGGCAAGAGCTTAAAAGATCTGAACACTTCTGCAGGGGAATGGCAGTGTGAAGGAGTCGCTGTGAAACCATTCAGCAAATGGACAGGCGTGATTTTTGATCCATTCAGGCGTGTCTAAAGGGAACAGATGGCATTCAGGCCAAAAATTGAAATCCCTGATTTGAGGATCAGGAATGCGAGCCATGGTTTAATGCTCATTAGTCAAGGCTTGTTTCCTGGGTGTTTCCTTGACACTGTCTCAAGAAATAAGGTGGGTAGCCAGGACTGGTGGCTCACACCTGTCACACCAATACCCAGGATGTGGAGGCAGGAGGATCAGATAGTCTAGGGCCTTCATGGCTGTACAATGAGTTCTAGGCCAGCTTGAGCTACACAAGTCCCTGTCTTAAATACCAGCTAAGTCGGGGTGGGTTAGACATCTGTGCAGTGATCTTATGAGAGTCCTTCCACAAAATGACCTGTAGGCACACAAGCTGTATCCAAGCTTCTAACACTCTAACACTGAGGCAACTACAAAGTTGGATCTGGAGAACCTCACCACTGAATTACAAAACAAGCAAACAAAAAGTAATCACACACACACACACACACACACACACACACACACACACACACACCCTCCTGATGTTCTAAGAAAGCCCATGATTTTGTGTGAGGTTGTACTCATAGTTATCTTGGGTCTATGTGACTTTCAGGCTCAGGATGAACACACTTGACAGTTGTTGAGAGAAGGAAGAGAAAACAGGCAGAAATGTCCTGAATTTGTAGAACTTTCTTCAAGGAAAGTTACCAAAGAGATTAGAGAAATTAATGATTTTATTATTATAATTATTAGGAATGGGGCTGGAGAGAGTCCAGGAAGGGGCTTGAGTGATGGCTCAGAGGTTAAGAGAGTAACGCACCTGCAAAGGACCGATGTTCAGTTCCCAGCACCCACATGGGGTAGCTCACAACTACCAATTACTCCACCTCCTGCTCTAAGGGATATGACACCCTCTTCTTTCCTTAATGACATCCTCTTCTGGCTTCCGAAGGAACTGAACTCACACACTCACATTGCCCCCTCATTATATATGCATAATTAAAATAAAAAAATTCTAGGAAAAACAACACATGCATTGAGTGATATTAACATTTGGTCTATTTCCTCGAATAGATATGAAATTTCAGAGATAACACAGTCATCCCTTTACTAAGAAGGATGGCTCAGGAGCTGGCACTGGAAATCGTTGCACTTCAGTCAGGAAGACCTGTAAGATTTTACAGAGAGGTATCCACAGCAGGTCACTGAGACAGGGAACCACAGCCTTGTGGGTTGGCTGAGCAGTCAGACAAGATAATCTGTCTTTGAGGTCCGAGTGGGTTTTCAAAGAAACATGTCAGTTTCAGAATTTACTCATAACGCAATGTGATATTCACTATGACTGAAAATAGTCGGCCATATTTGCATGAAACCATCTGCTGTGGAAAATGGTCCGAAAGCAGATGAGCCCAAGGGTGGTGGGAAAGTGCGATGTCCTCTTTACTTCGGGTAGAGTAAGATTAGATGCCTGTGTGTTTGTGAGGGACTACAGTCACCCAGAGACTCTCCCCGTGGCAAAGCTGAATGCTTTCACTCAGAGGAAAAGAACACTAACTTGCCTAGGAGGCCCGCGGTCTAAATTACTGTGGACATTTCAATGGTACGGCCATGAAAGGCAACAGAAACAGCTCCACAGCTTAGGGAAAACGAGTGGAAAAGCAGCCAGGCAAAGGATGACGCTTCGGCTGTTCCCACAAACGCATATACATCCGTGCTTCCTGTTCTCAGGCCAGGCTGATTCATTCGGTGCCAATTAAGTTTCACTAAGTGGACTCAATAAACCATCCCCAATAAAGCATATTTATAACACGAAGGCTTCAGATGGGTCCTGGGCTTGACTGGGAAACACTCAACTGAACACACGTTAGGCATGGATGTCAAGAATCCTCACAAATAAACACACAACTAAGTTTCCTTTTTAAAAAAAAGATATTAATCTTCATCCACTTGACTTAATTTCCTTGGCGTGTGTTACATATGTATGTGTTCCCATATGTACATGTAGAGGTAGCCATATGTGTATGCATGTGGAGGACAGAAGTTAATGTTGGATATCTTCCTCAACACTCTCCACCTTAATTTTAATCTCTCTCTCTCTCTCTCTCTCTCTCTCTCTCTCTCTCTCTCTCTCTCTCTCTCTCTCTCTCTCTCCCATCCCTCCAGGGTCTCTTAGTAAACCTGGAGCTCATTTGCTCAGCAAACTAACTATGCAGCAAGTTCTAGGTATCCACCTGTCTCGGTCTGCCCTGCTCTGGGGTTACAGACGCAGGCCCTTGTGTCCAGCTGCTTACATAGGTGCTGGAGATGCTAACTCAGATCATCATGTATGACCAGCAAGCACTTTCCTGATCAAGACTCTCCCCAGGTCTGTATAGAACCTGTCAGGATGAAGAAACATCTCCCCATTAAAAATAGAATGGGAAAAGGTGAAGCAAGACTGAATGAAGAAAATCAACTAAAAGATGACACCAGAATGTGACCAGATATTGATAAGGAATGCCCTCCCTTCACAGGCCTCCACCCCATAAAGAAGCTTTCAGGACTCACTCTGATGAAAACAGTCATTCCAAGGTGATCTAAAATATGACTTCACTAGAGAACTCTCAAGGCTGTAATTCCTTTTCTGAGCTAGATCATTTTCTTAGTTCTTCTTTCTCTAAATCACTAGCTACCCTTCTGCTGCCTCCAAGGACATCTCTGCAAATATGGAAAATAGAGTGGTCCAATTGAGCTTTTAGGCAGCAATTTCAGCTACGCATGCGATTGGAATGGTGGAAAAACAGATAAGAACCTTAACCCACAAAGGGAGGGTGGCTTAAGGTTGTTTTTCACCACAGGGATGGGCTAAATAGTTGATGAAATAATTAAATTATATGTAAACCAGTTACCCTGTGGGAAGAAGAGGAAAAACAAAAAAAAAATTTTCTCCCTGGAACCTCAGAGGATTGCCAGAACTGGAGGAAGGGCCAGCACTGGTGATAACTCAAGTAATGAAACAAACCGCCTTCCACAGGGCAACATTTTCCTAAATAAAAGCACAGGATGAGCATGCAGGGAAAATCGAGCTTGCAGCTAACAACTCGACCTCCTGATATGCAACTGCATTTTCTATCTGATGTGTCCAATGTCACTTAATGAGCTTGGCCCACTAGTATCCCAGCCTGTCAATAAAGCTGACCGCAGCAGGAGCCCACTCCCTGATTCATAGGAATTGCCCTGATTCAAACTGTCCAGGGACAGCTACTCTTGGGCTGGCTCAGAGTCTCTGGGCCCTACCACTGCCTCCAGACACCTTTCATCATGGCTGCATCAGCCAGGCTTCTCCAGCTGTGGCTTTTCATTGAATGATAGCCCTCAGTGCAGAGGCACATTCATGCTCAACTCCCCACACCTCTGCCCAATCTCATAGCTCACAGTCTTCTCAGAATCAACAACTAACTCATCAAGGGCAACCTATAGGCCACCACAGTGAACAATTCGAGACTGGATTTTTGAGATAGCTCGGTGACTAAAATGTTTACTGCACAAGGGTGAGGACCTGAGTTTGATCCCTAGCACTCATACTAAGAAACCTGGTGTATCAGTATTGCCTGGGAAGACATAGGAGTTTTCTACCCAGACAGCCTAGCTCAGTGGTTCTCAATCTTCCTAATGCTTCAGCCTTTTAGCATAGTTCCTCATGCTGTGGTGACCCCCCAACCATAAAATTATTTCATTGCTACTTCATAACTGTAATTTTGCTACTGTTGTGAATTGTAATGTAAATGTCTGATATGACTCCTATGTAAGGGTCATTTGACCACACACACACACAAAGGAGTCATGACCCACAGGTTGAGAATCACTGCTCTAGCTGAATCAACAAGCCCCAGGATCGGTGAGTGATGGTCTCAAAAAATAATGTGAGCTGACCCGAGCTAGTGAGAGATCAGTGACACAGGTCTGACAAATGGGGAACATGAATAAGACCGAACTAGACCCCCTTAATATAGGTGACAGTGGTGTGCCTGGGACAATATATGAGGCCACTGGCAGTGTGTCCAAGATCTAATACTAATGCACAGACTGACTTAGTGGAGCCCATTCTATATGGAGAGACACCTTGTTCAGCCTAGACACAGGGATGTGGGGGTGGAGAGGTGCCTTGGTCCTGCCTCAATGAGATGATGGGACAGACTCAGTAGATTTCCTAAGGGAGGCCTTACCCTCTCCTAGGAGTAGATGGGAGGGGGGGGGAGAGGGAGGGGAGGAGGGAGGGGGACCAGGATTGGAATGTAAAAACTAAAAAAAAATAATGTGAGAGTGACACAGGAAAATATCCAGCATAACACACAACAAATGCTTGCACGCCTGCAAACAGGTGCAGTTGAAAACCATCTGAATTCACGGTAACACACACCCAGTAATCAATACGGCGGCAGCAGTGCTAGTCAAATCTTGTTCAGTTTGAAGGCAAAACTCTTTAGACACAAACTAATCTTTTTAGCTAGTGCCAAAGGCTGTAGAATGAAGAGGCAGCAGATCGAGACAGGGAAGACCTGCTGGGCTAGAACTTCGAACAATAATGGATATTCAGTGGAGAGGGCTCTATACATCACTTTTCTTGAGAGA